CTGTTCACCATCACTATTCATCCAGTCAACTTTTGTTTAAAGCTGCTCAACTATTCAATCAATCAGCCGAAAGCAACCGACAGCATCTGCTTTATCCCATGCGCTGCCAGCTGCTTTCACCAGTCAATTGCTGCTTTTCTTTTCTTTATTTTTGTATATAATGTAATGAAGTTGAACTCATTCGGCAGACTTGGAAATTCTTAGAAATCTATATTCTGAAAAAATCCAAGAGCTACTGCTATTGTAATTGTAAGTTAATTTCAATGTTTTTATTGTAAGTTAATGTGTTTAAATGTTTTAATGTTTAAATCTTAAAGTTTGTTCAAATTCATTTTGATTTCGTAATCCATCTCCTTCATTCGCTATGTGCTGCTTTTATTAAAAGCTTCCTCAAAACACTAATGAATTCATGTCATTTTTTTTTTTTATAACCAATGATATATAGCAGCAGCAGTAGCAGTAGTCCTTGGGTTTATTTATTTATAAAATGAGAAGAATAGCAACTATTTGTGTGATTGAAGTGATGGTTAACCATTTGTATGAATTATATGAAGCAATACAGAAACCTTTCAAAGCTTGAAATTTACAAGGTTCAACCATATTTTAGATGCTTTTGAGTTTTCGATTTTCAAGTAATCACTGCTACCATCAATATTGGTTCCCTTTTAATCATTTGTTAATTTTATGTTGCGATTGAATCTATGAAAAACATAAGCAAATAAATAAAGTCTATGTTGCTATGTTAGATAAGTTTTACATGACTTGTGAGGCAATGTTATTGTGTCTGTCAATGAATTTTGTATTGAACATATAATCCAAAACTTTCTAATTTATATGTATCTGTACTTGAATTGTGGCTTTTAGTTTTAATTGAATTTTACTATTGAATTTTAAATTTTCTATTTTTGTAATTTGTATGCTTACACCATTTTATTCATATGTGCCTAGAAACTCAATTGATTCCATTGTGAGTTTGGCTCCACACTAAGTGTTTACACTATTTCTTTTGGAAATAAAATGCAGCAAGATGAAGAATATAATTTGCAGAAGATGGAGTACGAAAAATCTGAGAAAAATCCAAATGGGAGGCTAGTCTATTTATAGATGTTAAGGTGGCTTTTCGTTTTGAATTGAACAGGTATGAAACCTGTTAGATTCAAATTTAAACAGATTTGAATCTGTTTATTCAAACAGATAGAAACGGGAAGGGCCCTGTTTGGATGAACAATAAATCCAAAACAGTTTAATTCTGTTTGAAAACGGGAAGGGCCCTGTTTGGGTGTGCACTAATTCCAAAACAGTTTATTTCTGTTTGAAAACGGGAAGGGCTCTGTTTGGATGTACAGAAAATCCAAATCAGTTTAATTTGAATTCCGGATTTTATTTTAATAAAAACAAAATTAAATTCAAATGTTTTTGGCCTAAAAAGATTAGAAGCCCAACCCAACCACGCACCCGCGCCCAACCAGCCCACCCGGACGGCGGTGGCGGCGCGCGTGTGGTGATTTTTGGGTCCAATGGGTCTAGCCCATTTTGCCCATAACCTCTCCCTCTAAAACACTTGGGTACCGCTTGGGGCACACCCCAAGTATCTCACCCTAAGCCTTATAAACCCTTTCAAAACTTCCCACCAAATCAATGTGGGACAAGCCAATTTACAACCTTAAGGAATTTCTACCAAAACTCCATTTCCATGGAGCACACTTTGGCTTCAATTTCCCATTCACTCGGTAATGGTTTTGAGCAACCAAATATACCACGTGAATCACAACGCGGCATAGAACGCGTTACCACTTTGACCCGAGTAAATCGACACTCAGGGCCCACCTAAAAAATAGACCGAACTTTAGGAAAAAATTCTGGTTTTATCCAGAATTTTATAACCATTTCCAACAAATTCCCCCAAGAAATGCCATATTCAGGACAAGGCAATTAACTATGTAGCTTAAAAAAGTCAGAAATGAAACATAGAACCCTTGCATGGTTTTTTTTGTTTTGTTTTGTTTTTTTTTTTTTGTTTGGTTTTTTTTGTTTTTTTTTTACAATAGGACCCCTTACATGCTTTGAACACCCAAACAGTGAACTCCATTCTCATCTGCCTCAACCTTGAGGTGGTATCACTTCCTATCACATGCCAAAATTTGAACAAATTCAAAACATAGTATATCAATGAAATAGAAGGGGATTAGGACTATGCTGCTTACCATATATTCAGGCAAAAATACATTGTAAAGTTGATGGGCAACCATTTTCTGTTGTAATTACCAACAAAAAATAGACATCAGCCTTGCTCTCAGGGCTAGATTGCCTGGAATGACTCTAGATTCTGGAGCAATACATTCAGCTTCAGTATTACCTGTGTAAAAATGTAAATCAATTATGTACTGAAGATGTGCTGTAGTAAATTATAGGAAGGAAATGATCCCTAGACACATAGTCATTCTAATCAAAGTAAAAAGGTGACTGACAACATGCACAATAATTTAACTGATTAGAATTATCAAAACACTTGCATGGACTCACTAATGACGTTTTAGGCTGGAATTATATGATATACTCAAATATTGCTTATGTAACTTGCTTTAGAACACTAATTTCCAGATGATGGTAGATGTATATTTACCTCATATCTCTTTTGGTAGCAGTCTATTAATGATGTTTTAGGCTGGAAAGATTTCCTACCATGATAGCTTAAATCTCTTGACAACCACAATCTTGTTAGATTAACCTAAAGGGAAGTTTTCCCGAACTTAGAAGGTGCCAAGAAAATGGTGTTATTCAAAACTCTTTCCTTTCTTTCTTTTTTTTTTTTTTTTTGGTGTATGTGTATGACGCCCCGTATTTTATTACTCGGATAATATTAATAATATTCATTAATTAAGTCTATTTACAAATGATAATTCATCTTTTGATGAAATGATGAATAAATAAATACGCATGTTCTCTCTCGTTATACAACAGTGTCATTTACATACAAATAAAAGAAATGTCCTGAGACTTACAATAAATAAGTGGGCGTTGTCCTTTACAAATTATAGAACTCAGCCAAAGAAACAAATAAAATAAATAAATAAATAAATAAAAGACTACGGCTCAACACTACTTTACAACCATGCCAAGATAAAACTTGTTGTTTGATCCTCAAGTCTGGAAACATTCCCTGTACATATGTATAGGTAGGGGGTGAGCAAATCACTAGCTCACCAAATAATCTCATATTATTACATTAAAACATATGCAGGTCCAACGATACAATGATACCAAACAGATAAATATAAAGGCATACCATGTCATAACCTTATGACTTTATTATCTAATTCCTTAAATCCAAATTTAATTAATTAACCACAGTTGTTAACTTAAATAAATTAACTTACTTCAATATCAACAAGATATTCTTTTCAAAACGAATGCGATGCCATGCTCAATTTATATCACAATTCATTTTATCTTAATTCATTAGTCATGTCCATTTCATCCAATCAACCAAACTGAGGATACAACTCAATGGGTCTCTAACCAATATAGCTATCAAACAAACACATCTATTTGCCATTTTATAAAAATTTTGTCCGCAGGAATCAGCACTCATGTATATGCACGGTTTTCGAGGTTTTCACCCTGGACACACAGACTAACTTAATTTATTAGAGTACATCCCCTTTCTTCTCCCAAACATTGAGTACATCTCATTTGTCCTCCCAAACATCATACATATACAATGTATTAAAACACAATCATATTCAATGACAACCGATAAGAGATTAGTTTCAATTCACCAAATCTTCATGCAATTTCTACAATAATCAATACTATCCTCCACCGATAGCCAAAACAGTTATCTCTAATGCATTAATTAAAAGAAAACAACATGGATATACAACCCAACATACAACCATAACTTGGAACCCCCATGATTCCCAACACTTGGAAATAATCCATATTCCACTTTTAAAGCCAAACTTTCAAAACTCACATAGTTTTCCATCAAACTCAATAATTTTAAAACGAAACATAATCTTTTCCAAATGATCCAACAACTCCCAAAGCATTAACATTTAGGACCTTTCACAAATTGGGGCTTTCTCATTTTCAAATACCCACATACAATTTTATATACAGAAAATACATTTAATAGCAAGATTATAAGTAATCAACTCTCATTTTAACCAAACCCTCAATTTACAAGTCAAGTATTTTATATATGAATTTGAGGTACAAAAATAGCATATTAGCATATTCCAACTAGTAAAACTAATAATCAATTTATCAATTGTTTTGACTCATAAAACTTTCAATCAACTTTGTTCTACCTCAACCAAGATAACCAATATGATTTTCACCAAATTTCCTACTTATTGAATCACTACAAGAAAATACATTTTTGGCAACCACTTTTGCCGACAAAAAATATTTTGTTTGCCAAAAGTTGTGGAATTGGCGATCAAAAATTATGTTAGTCAGCAAAAATACAATATTTAGCTACTAAATTTTTTTTAGTCGGGGTATATTAATTATTGGCAACTAAAAAACAATTAGTCGCTAAAAATGCAACAATTGGCGATTGAAAAAAATTTAGTTGCTAAATTTGCCACAATTGGCGACTAAAAAAATATTTTCACTGTATAGTTAGTTTTAGCTATTAAAATTATTTAGTCGCCGAATGAAAAATAAAAATTATTTTTGGTCGCCAAATTTTTTTTTAGCGACTAAAAAATGTATAATTAGTTTTGGCTACTAAAATTATTTAGTCGCTGAATGAAAAATATATATTTTTTTAATTTTTGGCGACTAAAAATTTGATCGCCAAAAATATATTTTCAACGATAAAAAAATATTTCATTCACCAAAAGATAAAAAAGAAGAATTTCAGATTTTTGTTTTTGAACTGAGGAAAATTTTCAGATCGACGCCATTATTTTTATTTATTATTATTATTATTATTTTTTGTATCAAGCCTATTTGGAATACAAACAGGTGCTCATTTGCTCTCTCTCTCTCTCTCTCTCTCTCTCTCCTATTTGGAATACAAACAGGTGCTCATTTGCTCTCTCTCTCTCTCACACACACACACACACAGAATCAAACGCCACCAAACCTCAACTTGCTTCACCGCGATCCGCTCATCTCACCATTGCTCACCGCCGTGCAACGTCGCACATCGCCACTACCGCAAATCACAGTCGCACATCACCAATGTCTCGCCTCCAGCTTACATTCAGGTTTTCTTCGTCTCTCTCTCAGTCTCAGTCTCTCTCTCTCTCTCTCTCTCTCTCTTGTCTCGCCGCAAATCACCACTGTCACTGCCATAATACCAAGTTCTCTCTCGCTCTCTCTGTCTCTCTGTCTCTCTCTCTCGCTTTCTCTCTCCATTTCTTACTCTTGCTCTAGGGTTTGATATTCTTCCACTATTTCCCCCATTTCTCACTCTTGCTCTAGGGTTTGATATTCTTCCTCTATTTTCCATTTCGCACTCTTGCTCTAGGGTTTGAAATGATTTTTTCAATTTAATTTCGTGTTGATTTCTTAAATGGATTTTGTTTAATTAGTTGATGTCTAGAGTTTTATGGGTTTGATTTTGTATGAATAGGTTTGTGTATGGTTCAAAATGTCCAGGGCAGCAGCAGATGTTCCTCTGAAGGGTGGATTTAGCTTCGACCTTTGTAGAAGGAATGAAATGCTCTCGAAGAAAAGTGTTCAGGCTCCGAAGTTTCTCAAGACTGGTACTACCATTGTTGGTTTAATTTTCCAGGCATGTGTATCTATACCGCTCGCACACTTAAATGTTCTTGTTTATTTGACTTCATTTTGAATTTCACTGTAGTGGCATATAGCCTAATAGCTTATGGTGGTTGCTTTGCTTATTAATCAATTTCAAGCTTTTTGCCATTACTTGATTGGTTGTTTAGTTGCATATATAGTAGTTAAATAATGATTCCATTGACCACGTGATCAATGAAATTATCATTAGTTCTGTGACGTGTTCTGGATGTATGTCTGAGGAACGGGGTTGGAAAACAGGGTCTTATGAAATATATGAACTAATAAGGTTCGTGGGTAGATAGTTGGAAAGATGAAATGTTACTACAAAATTGCCCACGTTTATAATCTATACATGAATGTATAGTAAACCTTGACATAATATCAAAGGATGGCTGTTCTTGCAGCTGAAAGGGGCAAAACTAGAGAGTACCTTTATGAAAGATAACTTTTCTATTGCATCAAGAAAGTTCTTTTCTAATTTAGTTATAAATTGGGGGAGGAAATTATAGGATCACATGGTTAAAATGGTGATCAAAACTTACGTAGTTCGATATCCAAATCTGGAATCTCAAATGACTCCTGTAGCTATAGATTATAGTTTTTTCATATATCCTATGGAAAATGAATAATTGGAGGAACTCAATATATGACATCTATCTGGAAGGATGTGTGGATAGTGGTAAAGCCCTCTTGTCCCCTTGTGATCGTTCCATGTGAGGCCTTCTTGCCTATTTCTTCTTACAATGCAGAGATGAATGGTGAAACTCTTGGGTGGCTTCAGATGACAGTGGTGAGGATAGAGATAAATCATCAATAAGATGTTAGTATTTAGGCTTTAAATCAGAAGATCGATTGATTGAAGTAGATATAGGTTGGAATAGTAACATTTAGAACAAATTGGACACAAATAGATGGTTTTCTCATTGAAATTGATGGCCCAGTAGTTCAACTGCCAAATACTTGGGTTTATTAATACAACAATGCTAGGTAGCTCAAAATTTTGTGGCTCAAATGGCTCAAATCATTCGAAACGACGTCGTTTTGACAGATTTGAGCCACAAAATTTTAAGCTACCAAACATTTTCCTTATTAATATTACTTTTATGTTTTGCTACTTGTCGAAATATTTATTTTTCACTCCCATGTATTCCTCTATTTGCTTCACAGAATCTTCGTAGTGGATTAATTGAGTAGATGCTTCCTAAACTCATACTTTATGCTATTCTCAAATCACTTTCAGGATGGAGTCATCCTTTTAGTGAATACAAGAGCCACTGAAGGGCCCATTGTTGCTGATAAGAATTGTGAGAAAATCCATTTTACTGCTGTGGAGCAGGCACTGCTGCTGATACAGAGGCAGTGACAGGTATTTCCAAGTCTAATTTCTACATCAGAATATCTGTATTTGTTAAGCTTTTACAGCACTACATTTTAATTAAGTTTCTAAAATATTGTTGTTCTAAACATGGTTAGTTCCCAGTTGCAGCTACACAGGTACCATACTGATTAAGAATCAAGGGTTGTGATGGCTCTTACCCTTTTGAAGTCCCATCTTTTTAGGTAAGGTTACATAATTCAAGGTTTGTTTTTCTCAACAATATTGGTACTTTTTGTGTGAAAAGATTACAATGCAAGAAGGCCTGATTCTTTTTTGCTTAACCAGCCACCAAGGTTATGTCCAGTTGATGTCACTGGACCACATTTGCACACTGCTATGATGCACACTCATATGGCATTTGAATGGCACAACAAGGCATAATGCTTAAGATTTGACATATGCTTAAGATTTGAAAGGGATTCAAACTACATATGCACACTATACAGCTTGACATATGCTTAGGATTTGAAAGAGATTCAAACTTTATGCTTTCTTGTTTGGATTTTGTCCTGTTTACCTCTCCCTAAAACTCTTTAGACTTCATAGAATGTTTTGGTATTTGTTTTTATCCATTGTACTCATATAGTTCTCAATTAGCGATCACCTTTTCACTCTTTCTTTTAGTCTTTTGATATTTATCAACAGATTCTATATTTCTCTGACATCTGAGTTCAAAATTCATGGTTTCATTGTAACACTTTGTAAGCTATACAACAGATTCTAAACATTTTCTTTCAACAAATATTTACACTCCATTTGGTTCCATTCAAAGGGTTTAGGCTTTCCTCACTTGTACACTTAAAGCCCAAATGCCCCTCTTGGTGCTCCTTGACCATTGAAGAAGAAGCAACTCTCTTGAAGTCTAGTTCACTTGGAGGACTTCTCAATTTTTTTGGATAAAACTCAATCCTCACATCTCAACTCTTTGATTTTGTGGTAAAAATTAAAGGGTAGGATTTTCTAAAGTAAACACGTTTACGGTGTTCTTAATTTTAAAAGCATTTTTTTGTTATTTTGTTCTTAGATGAGGAATTTTGTGATGTTCCATGTATTTTATTTTCAATATTAGGTAATTTAAAAAAAAAATCATGAAAATGGGATGTTTGATGCTACTACTTGTTGGATGCCATGCCTAGGGTGTTTTATCTTGAAAATCTATGAAAAAAGGAGCACTCAAAATTAATTTATCTTGAATAATTATGATTGGGAATTTTTCCAGAATAAATATAGAATAATTACTAACAATCAACCTCGGAATAATCATAGAGAATGCCAAGGTGTTGACTGAAAATTGGTGGACAAGGAAATTTTAAAATAACAAGTGTTCAATATGTTTTCATGATAAAATGAATTAGTATCATTTTCTAGTCATCTTAATTTTAGAGCAACAATTGAGCAAAGAGGGTGATATTTTGAATTTAACTGATGATTGTCATTAATCTGTGTTACTTATATCATTATTTTGCTTCATTATTTGCAATGAAGTAAATTCTAATCATCTAATGATTGTCAAAGATACGAAAACACCAAAAAGTTACAAAGTAGAAGATTTCTATACTTGTGAGAATATTTCTGAGCTTTCCCGCTCTACAAATTTTTTGGTCAAAAGAAATTTGAGACACCCTTTATGTCTTTATTTTTTAGAAGTCTAGAAAATAGTGGCAATATTTTTGTTGATTTTGAAAGTAAAGAGACAAGTAACAGATACAAGAAAATGCACAATCGTTATTCTTATTTTTTTATACGATATTATAATCCTTCAAATTACAAGCACTTCAACTCTCAGATTAGTTGTTTTTGTTTAGAGGTTGCATTTGCTTGAAATCATAGTACTTCGAGTGATGTGCAAACATTTTCATAAAAAAATTACCTGACATTATTTTCATAAAAAAATTAACTCGTGTACGAAGTTGAATTTTACAAGACTATTTTGGCAGTTGTTACATTTTTTGAAGAATTATATATTTTGGATAGATGTGTACGGAAAGTATTTGGATAGACTACTAGTTATATTTTTAGATAGATGCATATGGATAAAAACTTAAAACATAATAACTACTTGTTATGTTTTAAATTTTTGTATTAAATGGATATGAATTGGATAATTATATAGATTACTTGACCATTTTAATTGGATGGTTATGTAGTTTGGAATTACTTGTGGATGAACACTTATAATAGTTGATAACTTTAATTAAAGAGGTTAAGTATTGGCTGATTTATGTATTTTGTTGGATGTTTATGATTCAGTTGATTTTGTTAGTTTGAATGATTTTTGCAAATTACAGGTTATATTGAATGGTTTAGATGGATTATTTTATATTATACAGGTCAAATGGAATTCTTTTTATATTTTATTTCAATTTTCATAAACAAAAATATTTGAATTGGTGACCAAAATTTGGTTTGGTTTTTCCTCTTTAGGCGACCAAGTGATTAGTCGGTGTTTCACCATTCACATTTGGCGACCAAAATATGGTTTGGTTTTTCCTCTTTTAGCGACCAAGTGATTAGTCGGTGTTTCACTATTCACATTTGGCGACCAAAAGGTTGGTAGGCGAAAGGGTACATTTGGCGACTAAATAATTAGTCCGCAAAATTTTTAATTTTGGCAACCAAAGTGTTTGGTCGCGAATAGGTCTATTGCTGATTAAAGTTTTAGTCACGCAAACATTACTTTTGCCGACTAACACTTTTGATCAGGGAATGTGACAATTGGTGACTAACATATTTAGTCGGGAAAATATCACTTTTGGCAGCTAAAGTGTTTTAGCAACAAAATGGTTTAGTCGCGGTAATATAACATTCAGCAACTAAAAATTTAGTTGGCAAATATAATTTTTTCCCGACTAAAAAATTTTTTAGTCACTAATTATTTTTGCCAACCCTCAATTGGCGACCAAAGTGGCGACCAAAAAAATTAGTCGTGAATAACTTTTGCCGACTAAAAATGGACTTTTGTCGACTAAATTTTTAGTCGATAAAAATGTGATGTCCTGTAGTGAATATTATCATTTCCATCCTACTATATTAAAAGCTATGATATAATCTCAATAACACACTTTTAATCATAACGGATATAAACTTTTAACCAAACTAATTTAATCCACTAAATTAGTAAGTTTATCATATTCAAAATTTTCCAAATCAAAAATACCAAAACATAACTTCACATGTCTCATCTTTCTCATAACCATATGTCATACCAAGCTACTTGAATAGTTAATTTTTTTCAAATACTTTACCAATAACAATTTCATAACCTTTTTTTTCTTTCTAAATTAACTAATCAAAATGATATTTACATCAAAACTTATGAAATAAGCTCAAGAGTAACCTTTTCAATGTTGGGAGTTCAAAAGTCTACATTTCATATTCACTTTACAAAAATGAACAAAATTTAATCATCAATATATCACCATTAATAAAATATCATGAATATAACAATTTTAGAGTTTTTTTAATCCCAAAATAACTCTATAATTCCAACTTAACAATTTACACAATATTCATTAATATCAATTTATTTTTCTCAAAAATAAATTCCAAAATCAAAGATGAGATAGTGTTTCAACATTATTTTTCTCAAAATAAATTATATAATCATAATATGATATAAATATGAACCATACAGCTATCAAATTTATTTTCGGATTTTCAACAAATATTACAAACACAAGATAATTTTTCCAAATCAATTTCAAAACATCAATATTCTTAACATTTCAACATAATTTTCTTCAAAAAAAAAAAAAAATGCCCGATTTTTTATCGGGACTACCATTGCGAAGAGTATGACGAGCTCTCCAACTTTCATTTACAAAATTTTTGCAAAATTTCACTCTAAAGACTCTCACTTGAAGCTCAAAGATTGAGCAACAATGGAGAAAAAGAGACGATGCAGAGAGCCCATAAGAAATGAAAGGGGGGGTAAAAAAAAAAACTTAGGAGGGAAGTCGAGTCTTCTCTGCCTTGGGTAGAGAAAAAGAAATGAGAAAGAGTGCAAGTAGAGGGGTGTAGGGGGGTAGGGGTGTAAATCTGGGAAGGCCCAGCCTGGCCCATGTCGAGCCTCACAACTTCCCGCAAAAATTCGGGCCAGGCCAGGCTGGGCCAGGCCACGGGTAAAAAAATTAGGCCCAGGCCCAAACCCTAGCCCAGGGGTATTCGAACCTTAGGCGGGTCGGGCCGGGCTTGACCATTTTTTTTCTATTTTTTAAAATTTTTTCTACCAAATTTTTATTATTTTCTACTAAAAAAGACACTGGGCTTTGAGCGAGCCAAGTCTTGAGTGGGCCTTAAGCAGGCTGATGGCTGGGCCACGGGCTAGGTTGGGTTTCAAAATGATGGCCTAGGCCCAGGGGCTCAGGTTGGGCTCGAGACTAAACGGGCTGGGCCTAAACAGGTCAGACCTAGTCCGCAAATTTTCATAAAATAAATACTCATCATTTAATTTTGAAATTTTTATCCAATATGCTAGACTCAAATGTGAACAACATAAAAATTTCATAATTTTCTGAGATTGGAAACTATTTAAAAAAAAATAAAAAATCGAACTTTTTTCACACAGAATATACACAGCACTCCAAATTCGAAAATTTGCTCAATTAAATTATGCAACGGTTGAATGGCGTCTATCTCCCAGGATACAATGATCTTCACAAATTTATAGAAGCACTTCAAATAAATTTGTTCGGCGAACCAAACCTTGTGTTCTAATACTCTCTTTAAATTTTTCCTAAACTAGAATGAAGATCAAAATGTAAGATAAAATCTGGACAAACAAAAAGGAACAAATTATCACTAATATCCGGATACTAGAACTGCTGGAAAAATTTGTATTTATAGGCAACCAAAAATAGATCCGAACAGGCACCACTTTACAAGTGAAAATGTGCACACCAAACATTAATCAATGCACTCAACAATTGAATAGATTAACTGCTAGCAACCGTAGCAGTTAATTACCTGTTTTCAAACAGCCCAAAAACCCGAATCTGTTAAGGCCTATAAGAACCTGTTTGAGGTTGGGACTATATTAAATAAACCATTGAAATAAATATATAGTAAACAATTAGAATATATATATATATATATATTAAACTAATTGAATGTATATATTAAACTATTTGAATAGTTTATTAAATAAATGAAAATGTACAAACTTTTAGGAAATCACTAAGGAACCTAAAATTTGAATTTAGAATTAAATTAAATTCCCACAATTACAAATTTTAGGAAACCACTCAGGAAACCAAAATTTGAATTTAGAATTAAATTGAATTCCCACAATAATTTTTATTGAAAAAATTCAAATGAATTTTATCTAATAAAAATTAATATTAGATCCGAAAACGACGTCAACTCCCATTCACTCATAAATGGTTTTGACGTTCCGTCTTCACCTCTTTGGACCCACCCCAAAAGACGTTTGGGGTCCACCCAAATTGGGCTAAATAATATGCCTATATAAAACCATTTTTTCCAACACGTGTCACTTCAGTTAGTAGAGTATCCAGCCCATCTTCAAAGATAATTAAGAAAAGGCCAAAATACGGTTGACTCACATCCTTAAGAGACCTCCTACCATATCTATGACCTACTGAACAAGTTGTACACC